TTATAACTGTGAGGACCTCTAAGTATAGTTTATAGCTATATTTTTGGGATGTTACATTTATCTTTTTGATCAATAATTGTGAATTTTAAATATATTATTTTGACTTTAAAATCCGTAACTATAAATGAGAGATATTTCAAAACAACTTATAGCCAAAGGAGTGGGGAACCATTATCCATGTTTAAAGTATGTTTTAATTCAGTAAACTTTTTTGGTCTTGGTATTGGGACCTGACCAATTTTCCAGTTGGGCCATTACGTCTTGAGGGCTTTTCTTTCTGCATCTCATTTTGTTGCGGTACCCATAAAATATGTAATTTCCAAATTAACTTTTATTAAAAATATAATAAAAATTTCTATATTTATTTTCTTTTTAACTGTTTTGAACAAGAGGTTTAAGATTTTGGAGGATTTGGAGATGAGAGTTTTCTGGAAGAAGCGAAGCATGTACACATAAAGATTGAGAGATGAAATGATGTATTATAAAACTGATGTGAATGATAGAAATGACTTCAGTTTAATTTGAATAACACCATGTTGTGGAGATGATGTTTATGGTCTCTTAGTCGCGATGCTGGTGTTCCCATCTCATGCTCGTGGTGTTGTGTTTGGTGGTGTAGCTTGATGATGTCTTGTTGGTTTGGTTGAATGGTATATAGTGAAAGTGTTAGAAGTCTCACATCAATTAGAAATAAGACCAAATTATAATATATAATTGAAGTGCAAACTTCATTTTACAAACTGGTTTTGTGAGGTCTTTTTAGACTTAAAACCACTTTCTAATGAAAGGTGTAGAAATCACTTCCATATGCATTCAGCTTCAAAATTAGTATCTCTACACCTATTTACTCACGAGAGTTCCTCCCGGTAACACCACAGATTTCTTCCTACACCACCTCATTTCATAATTGCCCTTCAGTGAAAATTGAACTACCTTGGTTAAACGAATATCCATGTCCGTTGAAGGCCGAACGGATTTCCACATCTGTTTTGGCCTTAATGATTTTTTATTTCATTTCTTTCACAACACACATATACATGTGAAACAGAAGGAGAAGAGGGAGGGTGAGTGACGGAAATGGGAAAGAGAAGGAGAAGAGAGGGGGGTGATAGTTTATCTTTGGGTGTTATTGGGTTTGTTCTTGTTATTGTCTTTATGATTTCTTGCTTCTTCTACTCGGATAATAGATACTCTGCTTCAAGATTCAGATTCTTGGAACAATGACAAAGGTTTTATCGGTTGCGGATAAAAACTAAGGAACGCAGAGTTGAGTTTCTTGGAGGTGAGGGTGAAGGGTGTGATTTGTTTGATGGGGAATGGGTTTGGGATGAGAACTAACCTTTGTATCGTTCAAAAGATTGTAGCTTTCTGGACAAAGGTTTTCGATGTTTGGAGAATGGAAGACGTGATTTATATTACACAAAGTGGAGGTGGCAGCCCAAAGTTTGCAACTTGCCAAGGTAGATTTTGATGTTTGTTTTCCAATGGTTTCAGTTTATTACTTCTCAAGTTCATTATTTTTCTCATGTCTTTCTTCAGTAATGATCGTTGGATGAAGATGGTAATTTGAAATGCTGGTCTAAGAATTTTGTTAAGGAACAAAACCATGTTGTATCTCGATGTTCATGCTTAATTTTAAGTATTTAGAATATTGTAATGATAAGAGATAAAAGAGAAGAGGGGGTGGTGGTGACGAAAATGGGAAAGAGAAGGAGAAAAGAGGGAAGGGAGGAAGTGTGTTGTGCCTTAGAATGAGGGTAAAGAATCATGGTTTTTAATTAAAAGAATAAAAAGTTAAGGATAAAAGTAAAAAAAAATTAACCTGAGGATATTTTTGGAAAAAGAATAAATTCAAGAGGTGCAAGAAAAAAGTTGTGGTGGTGGAGGGAGCAATACTCACGACACCCAACCCAACTTTTGGACGACACCTAGAAAACATTGGTGGGTTTAGCAATAAAGGAAATGAGAGAGATTAATTAAAAAAATTAAAGTCTATATTTTTTATTTTGTATATTTAGCTTATTATTAAGTCCTTTTATTTAATACAATTAAACACATGTTTTTGTTTATATATATATATATATATATATATATATATATATATATATATATAAAACGTCATTTTAAAGAACAATATCATTTATAACCTAAATTTACTATTTTTTATAGGAAAATCAGTGTACAGTTTAAAAGAGATTCATGGTGCAAGCCTTTAATCTCAATCCACTCCTCCCGTAAGTCCATTTTGTATTTTTCCTCAAATGAGTTGGTCCAAAAACTTCTTATTTAATTAACTCCTAAATGTTATTGTAATTTTTTTAAAAATATTTTGAACTTTAAGTGACCTTCACATATTTTATATTAGTTTTTAATTTTTATTATGTACAACTTAACACAAAAGTTAGGAACAAATCCAATCCAATTTGAGTTTGATCTAACCAAACATTATTCAACATTGATTCAAATATAATCAACCTTATCTTAATATAAGTTAGCATGATATTTTGAATTTGGACATTAGTTTGACGTCAACTTGATTGAAGTGGTCATAATATATGAATTCAATTCAACGGAATCAAATATAGGTTTAACTCAACTCAATCAAAAGTGGATCCAACTCAATTTGACTAGAGGTAGTCGAATTAATTTGGTTCGATATGGATCCAATTAACTTTTGTGCAACATTAGTCTGACTCCATCCAACATGATCCAATTTTACTTGACATAACATGGACAAAACTTTACTCAATCTGACATAAGTTTGACTCAATTAGGCCAAAGGTGGATCAAATTCAACTCAATCTCAGATAAATCCAACTCAAAATGATCATAAGTGAATCTAACATGACTCAACCAAAAATTGATTTAACATCTCAACATTGAATTATTACCTTATCTATCTATCTATCTATCTATCTTTATCTATCTATCTATCTATCTATCTATATATATATATATATATATATATATATATATATATGTGTGTGTGTGTGTGTATAATATTTAAACATGAGACTTGTTGAGCATGATCAATCACATTTTATTTCACGTTTGAAGTTTCATATCGACATTTCAAAAGTAAAAAAAGAAATAAAATTGAGACAATAACAAATATTTACTTAAATGCAACATTTAAATTGAATCTAATGAGAGAGATTTTGTCTTTTCCACGTAGTCAATCATATTCTATTTAAATACATATTTTGGTTTAACATTTTAACGTGTGTTTATTTTATTTCAGTTCCAATTTCAAAAGTAAAAAAGAAGAAAAAAGTACTACATGTTTATTTAAATACAACATCTAAATTTAATATACTTTACAAGAGAATAAGAGAGGAAGAGAGAGACGAAATAAAGTTTTTTTAATTAAAATACTATCTAAAGTTTTTTTTTTTACTTTTTAAGCGGTGAGCACCGGAACTATATTTAAAAGAAATAAAAAACGCCATATAAGAGAAAGACGAAATAAAGTTTTACCATGATATTGATTGCCACAATAATATAAAAATAATATATACAGCTTTTCACATGATCAGATGAGAGGAGTAAAAAACTTTACCAGCACAAGATCATAGTTAATATAATGATGTTACCATTTCTTATTTACTAAGGGTGAATTAAATTTGATGGTAAAAGTTAACAATGGTTAAGGTTATAATGACAAAACTATTAAAGCATAAGATTATATATAGATCACAACTTTTTTTCATCGCTAATCCAACCTATTCTTTTAGCATAATCATAGGCTACTGATATCTATATACTAACTTGCTTTAAGGACCACTTTTTCAATTATTTACATTTAATTTGTTACTATTTTTCTTCTTAATTTTCCCTTCTTAAAAAAAACTAATTGTTAGATCCATCGATCTTTTTAAGCTCAAAATTCTACTTCAGAGTTGAACAAATAATATATATCATTTTCATGAGATATCTTAATTATCTGAATTTTTTTTATAAAATAGGAATAAATAAAGGAGTAATGTTATTCAGCGAAACTTATAGTGCACAATATTAATGTAAATTAAAATTAGATGGAGATTATTTATTATGTGTAGCTAGCTGCTATCTTTTTCTTTTGGGGAAGCTAGCTATCTTTTTCTTTTGGGTGAGTACTGAGTGTAAGCTGTTAGGTCAGAAGCAGTTGGAAAGTGTTGGACCCTTGCAAAAAGAAAAAACAATAAAATAAAAATATAAAGACAATAGGGACCTTATCCAATTGCATGTGGACAGTTAAGGTTGCTAAATTACCTAAAACCATATCACAGGTAAGATGAAATTACCAGAAATTTCATCTTTCACTTTTAGTTTTACCCTGCATCACAAAACCACCCACCCAGGACCACTTTGTCACGAAGCAAAATTATGCTAAACTCTGGCCATCAGACCAGATCTGTAACTTCAATGTAGATTCCTCAGATTTCTCTGCAACCACCTGCAGACTTAGATTCCCTCTCAAACCCTTCTTCCAGTAAAAAGTTCCATAACAACTTTTTAGAGACTCCCAGTTCACAAGAACCTTTAAGTTTTAATGTGATGTTAAATAACGAAAATAAAAGTAAGCATGATTTGATTAAAAAAAATATTGATTTGGGTTTAATGAAAAATTTGATGCTTGATTTGGAAAATTGGAAGGTGGATTAAAAGGGATAGGAAGATCCTTTGAAACAGGGAAGAAATATGATGAGTCTTACCTCGGAAAGCTAACCCTCGGCACTAGAGTTGTTCTTTTGACCTATGATAGTCCGATGTCATGTGGTGTTATGAATATAGATGACTCCCAAGTTAGTAAAAATCTATACACCAAATCTGATGAAAAATACAAGCTGGGTCCTCTGCATCTAACTGTGCCTGGAAGTAAGCACTTTTGAATATAGTAAAATTTTAACAACTTTGGATTCGAAAAAGTTTGTGTAGACTCAACTTTGAACTTAAAAAGGTAAACACAAACCGAAATAAAATAATAATAAGAACAATAATTATAAAGGAGGTGAGAAGTAAGTGAGCGAGGTGCAGAATATAAAAAGGGTTGTTCCTCACTCACTCTCACTCACAGCCAGTCCATATGCCAGTTTGGAAATATTCTTCCCAAATCCAATTAATGCTGCCATTAACACCTCTTCCAGAGTCTACCATTCATTCACCTTCTGACTCTAACTTCTTTAACTAGGCCTTTCTCACTCTTTTTCTATTTCATATTCCCATCCCATTTTCCTCTTCTTTCCATCTTCTGTTCTTGGAAGTTCAAAATCAAAAAATGATGCAGGACTCAATTGGGATCAATATTCCTGCTTGTTTTTCTTCTTCAGCAGAGAAGCAGCACGGTGACGATCATGGAGCGGTGACCCGTTCAGGCCAGAGCGTTTACATGTCTGTGTACAGAACAAAGGTTGCGGACCACTGCCGTTTGATCACCATCACATGGTGCAAAAACCTCTTGCTTCACGGGCTTTCGGTGTCAGTGGAAGGCCCTGAAGGAGAAGAACAGTACACGTGCAAGGTGGAGGTGAAGCCATGGTACTTTTGGAGGAAGCAAGGCTCCAAACGCTTCATAGTGGATGGTAAAGCAGTTGATATTTTCTGGGACCTTAAGGCTGCGAAATTTAACGGTGAAACGGAACCGACCTCGGAGTACTATGTGGCAGTGGTTTGTGATGAAGAGGTGGTGCTGCTGCTGGGTGATCTAAAGAAAGAGGCATACAGAAGGACGGGGTGCAGGCCAGCACTTATTGACCCCATTTTGGTTTCAAAGAAAGAGCATATTTTTGGGAAGAAAAAGTTCTCCACAAGAGCCAAGTTTCATGAGAAGGGTAGGTGGCACGAGATTTCAATTGAGTGCAAGAACAAGGGATATAATAGGGAGTCTCCGAGTGGGGTTCAGCCAGAGATGGAGATAAGGATTGATGGGCACTTGGTGATTCATGTGAAGCACCTCCAGTGGAAGTTTAGAGGCAACGAGTCAATTCATCTCAGCAAAATGAGAGTAGAGGTATATTGGGATGTTCATGATTGGCTATTTAGTCCTGGTTTAAAGCATGCTTTATTCATTTTTAAGCCAATTTTATCACCCAGTACCACCAGCACTTGTTCTATGTCGTCTTCGTCACCTTCGTTATCATCCTCATCACCTCCCTTATCTACTGATCAGACAAGGAGTTCTAGATCAGTAGAGGGATTTAGTGTTAGTGGGTCATCAGAGTTTTGCTTGTTTCTCTATGCTTGGAAGGTAGAATGAAGAAGCCATGCCAACTTAATGGTCTGGTAGTGATAATGGAATGGTGAAGATGCAGGTTGAGATTGGATTGAGAGAGAGAGAAGAGAGAAAGAGAATTGGGTTTGGTTGAGATTGAGAAAGGCAGTGGGACCAAACAGTGGCTTGGGAGTTAGTTACAGCTGGGGTTGAGCAAATGCGCATAATTGTGGACAAGACAGATTGTATCACATTAACAATCGCACACATGTCCAATAATTCTCCATCCAGAGGCATCTACGTCTCCACCTACATTTTACCACACTGGAAAATGCTCTTTCTTGATCCCATCTTGGTAACCGAGCTGTTTATGTTTCCTCCAAAATCTATCAACCAAAGGTACATCTTACCTAAATTTTCTATCAAAAAATAATATATGTAGACACAAGATTACTAAACTGAATGTTTGTATTTGCCCATAAACTTATATCTGTTCATGCATGTGACGGAAAATGGTACCCCGTAAAGAGAGGATGTGTGTTGGGTGATGATGTAGAAACAAGAGTACAATAATCCCAGTATGTGCACCTCACGCACATTAATACACATGCTTCTCTTTCTAGTAGTTGGATTATCAGTATCATCCTCTCATCATTATTGCCTAAGTTCGTTACTCTATTCGTTATTCATTCCCAAACTCTGCATAAAATTTTTAGTACAAATAGCCAGGTATATGATTCTGTTTTTGGTCCAAGGCCACTATTTTTTATCTTCCTTTTATTTCTTCTACCTCACTGGGCGTATTATACTCGTACACCCACGACAAAGGATATTATTACATTACTTAGTACAAATACGTTGACAAACTATTATTTTGATTCAATTAAATGCTACGTGCAGAGTAATACTTTTTAATCAGAAAAATTTACAAAAACGATACGTGTAGCAGAAACAGTGTATAAAATGACAGCAGCAGTTGTGGCAAGAAAAAGAATAGTAGATTTGTTCTTTGGGGGGTCAAGAGAAATGAGAAGTGAACTACAAAGTTCGTCTTTTTTAGGAAGCAGTTGAAGCTTTTTTGACCAAGAAGATTTATTAATTCACGTCAACGTCGCAAACAATGATAACAAGGTCACACTGAAAGATTCAAAAGTATGCGGCCAGGGACTTTGGCTGATTTATCGAAGAAAAATATTGGGTAGGCCCAGATGTTATTGTTTAACTCAGGTAATAGTTTAACCGGAAAAGTCACCAAAACGCCAGCATAAATTTATGACAGTTATTAAGAGATTCTTAACTTCTATCAGTAACTAAAAACCAATTTTGTATAAAATTTTGGTAAGTTGAATTATTTGGAAATGGTCGAAATTAATTTTTGACCAAACTTTATTTATTTTCATGCCGAACCAAATTAGGATGAAGTGAACTGCGTGGATAAAAGAAGATATAGTAGTGATTTTAAGTACTTTCACAGATGGCTATTGGAGTAAAAAATCATTAATAAATTTTAAAGAGCTAACAGGACATAGTAGAACAAATGCGGTAATCGAAGAATTTGCAAAATTTAAGTTGCCATTGGCAATGGCATTGATGGACGAGACGTATTCATTTTGAACCAAAACCAAACCACCTTGCCAAGAAGAACTTGTTTTTGCCACGTGGGGCCTCCTTTTCCGCATGTTGTGGTGTTGGAGCTGGAGAAGGAGATAGCAAAGGTGGCGTAACGAGTTTGACTGCAAGAATAGTTTATGTCATCATATATTCATAGATGGAAAGGTCAATTACTGAGTATGTGTTCATTAAGTGGAGGAACTTCGATGATAAAATCAGAGTCCAAATATATGTAAACACAACTAAAAAGCCATAATGAGAATATAAGGAAATAAAAGGAAATGCAACCTGGATTTGGGGAAACCTTGAAAGCTTTAGAACTTCTTGTGTCGGAGGAATTTGTTTTTGAACTTGATATGGTGGGTTCGCGATCAGATACAGAGCTTGACTTTCTCTCGCGAACTTTATTCTTCGTCTTTCCTTCACTGTTTTCTTCACCTGCAATTTTACCAAGAATAGAACAAGTATTAGAGAGAATAGATTGCAAAATATCAGAGGCATTTCAACCAGATATATCGCCTATAGTTAACCATATTATAATGTTAAAACTATGAAAAACTCCTGTTATTATCTTCATTAACAGAGTAATTACTGATTACTCTACCGCGTCTGTAGTTGAAAAACCAATTGGACAACACTGCCTTCCTCTTTATGACATTTCACATAAAATCTTTTATGTTTTTTTCGCTTCAGGTTCTAGGAACGGATCACATATATATATATATATATATATATATATATATATTTTGGTGCTTTAGATTAGCTAATTTGTAAAGAAAAGAAAGAAAAGGTACCGCAGAAAGAAAATTAGCTTCCTGTTTACTATTTTTTTTTCCAGCTAATACAAATAACTTTATTTTCTATTTTAAAATTCCCTTCGTTTCTTTTTTAACTTCTTCACTTTTCATCACTAATTTAGAAAAAAAAAAACATATCAGTAGAAAAATCCCGTTTAAATCCCAATCTACATCATCCTTTGAGAGTGGAAATTGACATTATTGAAAATTGAAAGCATATGATGACATTCTTAATTCATGGAGCAATGATATTTTGGGGTCCGCTAAAATCATACAACTGCTTTATGTTCATTATCTTACCTTTCTTTTTTCTTTATACTTACAAAAGCATATTTCTTCTAATAACTATATTACTTTAAAATACGTTGTCACATGCTTAATTGGATGTCAAAAGATAATTTTTTTAACTTGTAAAGTTCAGATTCACTCCTTCTCCAACATCTTGAAGAAAATACCAATCAAAAGAATTAACAAACAAGTAGAGTATATTTGTCAAAGATTTACTGGTTTTTGAATTTTATAATTTCATAAACATGATGCTCAAATATTTTGGAATTTAGAAAACCGATCATGAAAGGTTAAAATAAATATTACTTACTTTCAGTCGGAGATTTCCCGTAACTATGGTTCAAAGCTTCGATAAAAGAAGCAGTTCCCTGGTCTTGGATCACTTCAAAGAAGAAAAACAACTTTATTAATTAGTTTAACTTAATAATCAAGAAAATTACAATAACTATTTTAATATTGAAAAATATGAACTGACATTGATCGAATAATGCATATCTGTAATTTGGGACTGAGCCAGCCAATAACAACTGGACTGCTTCTGCATCTCTTGTCATCGATATTGCTGCAGATGATTTTATATTCTGTGTGTCAAGCAGAATACCGGCAAGCTGCAAAATAAATACATTCAATGAGCAACACCAAAGTCACTTGAAACCAAACCGGTGTTTAATAATTTTCAGAAGCATCTTTTAATATGGGGAACCATAAAGTAAATTAATGGATTGCAAACTAAGATCACCATAAATTTACCAATAGTTTCTTCAGAACAGGGTTTTCAAGTAAATCATAGGCATCTTCACAGTAATTGTCAGTAACCACTGTGCATTGGGATCCAACCTTGAAAATCAAAACAACAGATAAAGTTAATTATAAAGTTCATCTGGGCACATTGCCTTTGGATCAAACTTTTTGTTTATAAAATTAATTTTCAGATCATCTATAATTGATCATCCAACCTCGCCAGTAGTGCTCAGGACATCTTGTCCAACCACGAGGACGCTCAGTTGGCCAGTCATCAAAAGGCTTTCCATGTCCACCTGCAAACAAATTCACTGTCAGTTCACCAAACTAAGCAAAACACATCAAGCTTCAGCTTACTATACTAATCATACGTACAATGTCCTCCAAAGTCCAAACATCTTTATCATAAGGAGAGAGATAAATTCAGTGATGTCTAATCCAAATAATTATCAAATAATATACCAAATAAACAAAATCAAGACTTATAAAATGTACATGCATATAAACTGTATATGCATCTGACAAATGAAAGCTAAAAAGTAGTATGGAACATGTATTATTTCATCACTCATTGTTAAAGTCTTGTCCATGCAAAAACAACTTTGATATATTTTCATATAATTTGAAATTTATTCCCTAGTTTCATAGGCCAAAACACCTAGGCCTACATGGGACTGAAACTTGACAGCTTTTTCATGTAAGAACTAAAACTTATAATGATGATAAGGATAAGGAAATAACCTTTACTTTTATGCGTATTAATTCTATACCATTTATGTTATTAGTCGAATAACATTTTTCATGCCATAACTAACGAAAAGGCGGGTAAAATCTGAATCAATTTTGAAGATTGCAAAGGCACCTCATCAATGAAAAGCAACGAAGTGGCATCAAGACCAGCATGGTGAAAGAGCCACGCAGCCTGCTTCAGCTTCCACATGGAGCCGCGCTTAACATTCATGACAGGCACCACCACCACGCCACCCTCTTTTTCTTTCTGCCGGTAATCCAAGAGCCAGGCGTGGCAAATGGCAGCCACCATCGACGCCGTGCCTGCACCGCCACAAGACAAATTCAATCACTCTCCAAAGCTCCCACGTCACACACACACACACAAAAAAAAGGCACTCATCACCAACCGTTGGAAGGCCCAGAAAGCACGATTTGCACATTTGCATGGGACTCTCCGGTGGAGATTTTGTGCAGCAAAGTCCTCTGCTCTTTGAGGAAGCCGTTGAGGCATGCTTGCTCTCCTTTTGCAGCAACATGCCTCGGCGCCATCCTCTCCCGCGAGCACGTCGAAGACAATATTGTCCTCCGGTGAGCAGACTCGACGAGGTTCCTGGGCGGAGAAAGAGGAACAGAATCGGAAGGAGAATTCTCCGGAGCAGAAGTCTTGAAGGTTCGCCTGGAGTTGGGAGTTTGGATGCCCTGCGGGTGAGGCGCAGCAGAGGGCTCCGTTTGGAAGCGTGACTTTCGAGGATGCGGCTGACGTGGAGGGAGAGATGTTAAAAGGGTATTATCGGGAGGAGAAGGAGTTGTGTGTTGTGTGTTATTGTTATTGGTCGGTTTAAGGATGTTGGAGAACCAGTTGTGAACCGCCGTTGCAGGGGATCCATCCTCGTCCGATGAGGGTTGAGCGAAAGTGTCGGATTTGTTACGAGTGTGTCTGGCTGTTTTTGACAGTATCTCGTCACTGATCCCTACCCCTGTTCTGTATCTGCTCCATTCACATTATTATCATCAATGTCATTACCATTTTCATCATTATTATTTCATGTGATTGATCTAAAACATTATTCTTGAATGAAAGATTTACGAGTTAGTCTTGTAGGATTTTGCTTGAATACTGTGATTACCTTCGTGCAGACCTAGTTCTAGAGAGAGAGTCTCTGTGGTCCAATGAGGAAAGGGGTGAGGGTGGTTGTGGTGCTGCGAACCTTGGGGACCCTGAAAGACGACTTGGAGATCCACCGCGGGAAGGAGAGGAACCCACGATGAGTCGTGCCTCTTGCAGCCACTCTTGCGTCAACCTTGCACTGTTGCTTCTAGTGCTGTCGTCGAACCCTTCGTCCTCGTCCTCGTCCTCCTCGTCGTCGTTCACTCCTTTACTACCTGTGAGGTCGTAGGTTTTGTTGTCCACGTGATCTACTGCTCCAAAAAACATGTCGTTCATAAAGTCCGTGAGGTCCGGCGCTGGTTTCTCCTTACGTCGTGTCTCCGCCATCTTTTTTTGTAGGCTTAGAGACCCTTTGCTTTGTCTGCTCGACCTTCGATCCATTAATTCTGAGCTTAAGATTAAGTGTGAGGAGAGTAAAAGATTGGTTATAATTTTGTGGTATGTTTTAGTTTTTGGGGTGTTCAGTTTTAAAGATCGACAGAAACATAGAAAACATCAGTTTTGATTGTGGATGCAAAGAATTGGCCGGCGCTGGGGCTGTCTTGTATATATGTATATTTTATTTTACGGACAAAAGATAGAAAGAGAGTAGAATGATGACTGAATTTGCATGAAGAATTAATGTGGTAACGAGTAGAACTTATACAAAATTTTAGTTGAGGAAACGCCAGTGCTAATTAGTAGCTAATTAAGAGATTAGAGTAAAATCTTTTACAGTGGACTAATTAAGAGAGAGTCCAGGTGCATCACCTCCTTTTCTTGTTTCTTCATCAAATCCTATACTTGAAGCTTCATCGTTACTTTGCGAAGATATGTGAAGAGATTCAACTTTTGTCCATTACTGGCAGGCTTCTCTTACCTTTTTTTATTTATTATTGAGTAAAACTATAAAAAGAAATGTGTATTTTTACCCAATGTTCATGAAAACTGTCTACAAAAAACTAAATACAATAACCTCGATCTTATCAGCAAAAAAAATTGGGCAACATTAATTTAACATATGTTCTTTAGCAGTATTTGATAAAAAAAAGTTATGGAAACAATTTGTCAATTTTTTATTATATTTCCCCTTTTTTAGATTACTTCATTCATTTTATCAACCGTGTAGATCATGGGTTAGCAAAATTATAGTTATAACTTGTACAAAATTACGTATATATTACCAAGTTTAAAATAAATATTGAAAAGAAATAAACTAAGAATATTGCGGCTATAAATTTAATTGTTAAAGGACATTAGTTTTTTTTTTTAATGTTAGGACAATTTTTATATATTTGTAAATCATGCCTCTACAAATTGAGCATTAAATCTGTAAATCTGTTACCATTTTCTCAAAATAAGTGATTGTTTTATTGGGTTTATACCTTTGGTCCATAATATAAAAGAGGTAACTCGGGCTAAGAAACATATGTTTACATATGGCCCTATTTTTTTAAAACCCACTTACAAACTTTAAGGGAGAGGTTACTCCATACACCACTTCACATTACTCCGTGCACCACCACATTTTTTAAAAATTCTAAAATTATCCTTTATATTTTAAAATATTCTGCTTCTTCATATTTTTTCTTCAACGGATGTCGACATCCGTTCAAGAAAAAATACTTCAACGGATATGTTACACGGATGTGGCTACATCCGTTCAAGGTTTCTTTTTTTAGTTTTTAGTTTATTAATTTAATATTTTTTATATAATTAGTTAAACGGTTCTTTTTCTTTTTGGTTTTTAATTTTTATATTTTAAATTAATATATAAATCATATTTAATTTTTTTTAAACTTATTACATAATAGACATAAATTAATTTTATTTTATTTAATAAAAAAATTATCATTAATTTAATTTATATATTCTTATTTAATTAATTATTATAATATTTTTTATATTATTAGTTAAACGGATGTGACCACATCCATTAAGGTTTTTTTTAGTTTATTAATTTATTATATTTTAAATTAATATATAAATATTGTTTAATTTTATTATAAATTTATTACATAATTATATATAAATTAATTTTATTTTATTTAATAAAATAATTATTATTAATTAAATTTGTGTATTATTATTTAATTAATTATTATAATATTTTTTATATTATTAGTTAAACGTATGTGCCACGTCCGTTAAGGGTTTTTTTTAGTTTATTAATTTATTTTATTTTAAATTAATATATAAATACTATTTAATTTTATTTTAAATTTATTACATAATTATATATAAATTAATTTTATTTTATTTAATAAAATAATAATAATTATTTTAATTTATATATTATTATTTATTTAATTATTATAATATTTTTCATATTATTAGTTAAACAGACGTGTCATATCCGTTAAGGTTTTTCTTTAATGTTTTAGTTTACGGATGTGGTCACATCTGTTGACGGATATCAAAATTCGTTGAAGGTGAAACGGATGTTGACATCCGTTAAAAGTGTAATGGATGTTGACATCTGTTTTATTGGAAGTTCAAATTAGGTATGGGGTGATGTAAGAAGCATTTGGTGGTGGTAGAGGGAGCAACACTCTTTAAGCGAATATTTGCAAGATTTTTATTTCAATTTGTCAGGTAGAAAAAGGTTTGGGGCTGTGAAAAGCCCAATACATCATAAAAGATAGCATCAACAAAAAATCAACCATAATTAACATTGTCATTCTCAAGCATCTTTTGTTAAGTTCATTCTAAATCTTTGGAAAGTAGCTCGACAAAAATATTTTTTTCGAAAACAAGTTTTAGTTTTGCATCTTCACATGTAGAAAAAGGACAAAAACTTAATTGCACTACAAGTTTGAAGACACACCTTCCTCGTTTGTTTTTGTTTTATATTTAAAAAACATTGTCAACGCTAACAAAAACGAATATTGTATATCTGTACAAAATCTTCTATACACAATTATATATATATATATATATATATATATATATATTAGGTGTGATGTTAAATGTCAAGAATGCATGTTGTTTGTATTGTGAATGATGAATGATTAAGGAACATTTATGTTGTATGTTTTGGTGTGATGGATTGAGTTGTATGGAATAATTTGATGAAAATAAGTATGATAAGGTGTGTTTGTTACAATTGTCTATGATGAATTCGTTAATGAATATGAATATGTATGAACATGTATGTTGATGAATGATGGCTAAAATTAATTTTGTATGAGAGAGCGTTTAGTATAGATGAAGTAAAGTTGTGATGAGCTATGTATGTATGATTGTGGGTATGAAGACCTTGTGGAATTTTGTTATGATATATTTGAAATTTCATTTGAGAAGGTTATACTATGATATCAAGTAATGTATGGAGTGGAAATATTGGTGAAAATAGTTGTGAATTATGTTCTAAGTAAGTGTGATGACTTTAAGAGAGTGAAAGTGGATCAATGGAATGGAATGAGAACAATTTTGAATTGTATGATTGTTTGAGTTTTTGGCTTCTAAGGAAGAAGTATAAATCTTTATTAATTTAGTGTTATGCATTAACTTAAGATACATGTTAGTCAAAAGTCATCCTATACTCTACTAGGCTTATAAACTCACATAAATTATCGTAGTTTAGGTGGTAAGAGTTGAAGGAGATTATTGTGGCAGGATTAGAGGTGAGACCCCACATTTGAGGATGTCATAAGTTAACTTACTCTATCCAAAGGATTTTTATCAATTTGTTAGGCCAAGTAGAGCCAAAACCTTTGTTGTAATCCACTAAGAGGTTTTATGATACGTGCAAGACTTCTTATGTCCAAGTCAATGTATAAATCCATATAATTGATTCTAGCTTATGTTTGTATGTGTTAATGAAATTTCCTTGTGATTTTGAAATGATGAATGACTAACTTGGGTGTGATAACTTACTCTGTGGAAATTTTATTTATATGTAGCTAAATTATATATGTTTAAAGTTATCATTAACTTACCCTACTTTGTTTGTATATTTTTTTCTTTTTGCAATAATGAACATTCATTGGTGTGAGAGGGGATGATACAGGAGTGAATGCATAGGATGTAGTAGAACTACTCAGTTTAAATCATAGTATAATAAATATTTTTTTGTTGGTTTATATTTGTTTCTTTTCCAATGAATGTATTTATACTCTAGGTTAATTGTTGTGTTAATTATTTTGAATTATCAAACTTGTAATGTCTCATTTTAATGGTTTTATTCAATTAAAATAGAATGTTAGATCCTGCATAGTATAGTACGGGTCTTGTACTGGTTTTAAATATAAAATTTAAGAAAAAGTTTTAATAAAAAATATTTAGAATTTTTTTGAAACATTATATATGAAATACTTCTTTTAAATATAATATGAATAAATATTTTTTAATTATCATTAAAATTAATTATTAATTATAAAAAGCTAATATCAAAATTCCATTTATAATGTGTATTAATAATTTAAATATAAAAATAATTCTTTTTATATAAATTAAAAATTTAAGGTTTTTTTTACCAAAAACAATATATATAGTTTTTTTATTGTTTAATGTATAAAATTTTCATTTAATATATGAATTGTTATATTTGTTATTTTACGTACTACTAATATACGTAGGTGTAACACTAACGTAATGAAATTATGCTCTACAACATTATCCTTTTAAAAAGAAATAACTTTGTTATGAATAAGTATTAGTAACCAATTAAGCAATATATGAGAAAATTTTTTGAATACATTTCTTTATTTGGTAATACTCTATTATAAAAGAATTATGTAGTTTGTTTTAAAATGAATATCTATTAGGTTATGTCTATAATCCATTCAATCATAATTTAATTTTTTTCTTTTTCTATTGAAAAAGAATTAGAAAGATAACAATTAAAGTCATTCAATTATTAGAATTATTTATTTATATACTAAATATAACTATTATACAAACCATTACACACAATTCATAATTAGATATTAATTTACTTTATCATTTTATATTTATTAATGATACTTATCATTTCGTACAATTTAATCTTCATCTAACCACACCTCAATCAATTTATTATATTAATCAATAAATTGAAATTTAAGTAACTCGTGCGTTCACTTTTGAAAAGCCTACTTTAAATAGAAAAGTGAGTTGAAGAAATAATTATGAAAGTTAGTTTATAAGTTTATAGCTCTTGCTTTGCTTACGTTAAGTCCGCAATCCCACTACGCACTGTATTTTGCGTGCCCCTTCTCAGCCATAAGGGGACAAACACAAATATTAAACATTATTAATAGAATCTCAATACTAAACTTTTTTATTTATTTTATTTTTATATTCATGGATTAGTTATAGGTATTTTTATAATTTTAGATTTATATATAAAGAGCGGTTAGAAAGTATAATAATAGGAAAATGTGTTCACCGAGAGGACTTTTCAATAAGAAAGCGTGATATGTCGACACTGGTATTTGGTTTTTAGGTTTAATTGCTTCCTTTGTTCCCAGTTTGGTTGAATTGTGTCAAATTCATCCTCATTTTTAAAAAAGTTTCATTGTCGTCCTCACGTGGTATAAAAGTGTCAATTGAATCCAAACATAGAAAAAATTTGTGTCAAAGTAGTCATTTTTCCTATATATCTGTGTCTTCCTTTCATATGTCACTTCTCTGGAGCTATGAAAAGCCTTAAATTGGATAAGGTAAAATGAATATCTGTACTTGATTGTATGAAAGGAAGACACAGAGATATAGGAAAAATGACTACTTTGACACAAATTTTTTCTATGTTTGGATTCAATTGACACTTTTACACCACGTGAGGACGACAATGAAACTTTTACACCACGTGAGGACGACAATGAAACTTTTTAAAAAATGAGGATGAATTTGACATAATTCAACCAAACTGGGGACAAAGGAAGCAATTAAACCTTGGTTTTTATAAGAAGTTGGAAGAGAAACAGAGTGGGAAATAAGGGCAAACCTGTAAAAATGTATATTCATAGTACTTTCGTGTGGCCCTCGTAAACTCCAAGCAATTGGGTAAAAGAAGAAAAAATAAAGCAGAAATGACAATGTCAACCAATAAAAAGTATACTAAATTTTGCCAATGGCCAAGTACACTCGTGTAAACCAACTGCATCAGTACAATCAAATCACCTGGTGCAGCGTCTCAATGGCTTTTCAAACTGTTCAAAGGATATCATTTTTTCAAAATTCAAATCATATATCTACCACTTGCTTGTGTCCGCTATTACTTTTATGCTATATTTTGAGCATATAGGCCTTTGACTTGTCCTTATCGATTATCAAAATTCAATTTGTTTAGATTTCCCATTATTTTATGAAAATTGGCTTTATATAAAGGCTTTGAAGTCAGTGCATCCCCACTCACATTCTAAGAATATCTCTCCAATTCTTAGCTGTTCTCTCAAGTGCCATTTCTGTACTCTCTTTTGACTTTTCTATCAGAAAAGCTTGCTAGCTGAAACTGAGAAAAAATGGCAGCACATAGCCTTGTGGTAGCATCACTTCTAATTTTCTGTTTAGCTGGAAGTTGCTATGGGAAAGTTCACTTTTCCTCCCTGAAAAAAACCCTTGATGTCACAGCTTCCCCCAAGCAGGGACAAGGTAAGTCAAAACATCCCTTCTCAGATACCCCCTTTCATCAAACTCTATATTTGAATCAAGAAAAACTGCACAAATTCTTAAATTTCAATTCTTTATGGATTTTATGAATTGGGTTGTGAAATTCACTTTCCTTGATGCTAAACCCAATCTGATGGTGTTAATGGTTACGCAGTTCTGGAGGCTGGAACAGACAAAATCACCGTGACATGGGCTCTGAACAAAACCTTACCATCGGGGACAGACTCAGCCTACAAAACCATAAAGGTGAAGCTGTGCTATGCGCCCATCAGCCAAAAGGACCGCGCGTGGAGAAAGACCGAGGACGAACTCTCCAGGGACAAGACATGCCAGCACAAAATCGTGGCCAAACCCTACGACGCTTCGAACAGAACCGTGCAGAGGTTCGAGTGGGTGATCGAGCGCGACGTGCCCAAAGCCACGTACTTCGTACGCGCCTACGCGTTTGATTCTAACGGCGAGGAAGTGGCCTATGGGCAGACGACAGACGCGAAGAAGAGCAGCAACTTGTTTGAGATCAACTCGATCAGCGGGCGCCACGCTTCCCTTGATATCTGCTCCGTTTGTTTCAGTGCTTTCTCCGTAGTGGCTCTCTTTGTGTTCTTCTATATTGAGAAGCGAAAGGGAAAGGCTTCTTCTTCCTCAAAGTGATTGAGTCACCACAAACACACGCGCGTGAGAAAAACGTCGCAGGTTTACATATTTCATCATGGTCATTAATAAATCAAGAGGGACCTGTTTTTCCCTCCTAATAGTCAGCTATCTTCAGTACAACTAAGTTCCATCACAATGTAGAGCACGATCTTCCCCATGATAATTTTATATATGTGATTAGGATGTCATCATTTGAGTAGCATACTATGAAAGTAAAAAAATAATAAAAGTGTCAAATTATGATGAACCGAGCCATCCGATGCGAAGTAAGGTGATAAGCTTAGATAGGAAGCAGTCAAATTTGCAGTTTCATTGTACAAAAGTTCTAAAATAATATGATTATTACAGTAAGTTAAAGGAGTTTTTGTCTAGAAAAGCCTCCTAATAGTTATACAAAACCAATAAAAAATTTGACAGATAAATCATCTATTAGGAAACCTCCAGTCTTTGTTAATGCTTTTTGAATCTTTGTCTCTTTCCGAAACAAGGGAAACACTCAAGTAGAACGCCGTTGATTCATGAACTTGTTCCGAGGTTAGCTAACTCATACAAGTAATTCCACTTCCGTTACTTAGAAAGTTAATTCCACGTGGGTTGGATTTGCCCGAGGACCACAATATTATCCAATTAACGAATAGGTGTCTCACAAAAATCAACATCTTGTCATTACAAATCTGCTGAAGAATGAAAGTAAATGTCTTTACTTCGCATTCTGCCCGTACCATAAAGTGATATTTTGTCGTCAAAAACTTCAGCATATCCAAACGAATCCGTGCCAGCAGGACATTCCAGGGCAGCTTCAAGAACTCTATGGTGAATTCCATGGGAATCAACGGAATACCCTCCTTTGTGATCATGTCCAGATACACACAACTTTACACAAGTGTATCTGTGTATCAAATTCATTACTTCATCGTAGTTCCATAGCAGTGCCTCGTTGGATGATGCAACAGGATCTAGAGGCATGTGGCAGCATATTACTACCTTCTGTTCCAATTTTGTTGCTTCCTGAAGAACACTGTTCAACCATTCCATTTGTTCCTTTCCAACAGCCCCATTGAACATAAGAAACCTTCTTTCGAGGCCCACCAAACCTGTCGGGCTGTTCTTGTCATCGTTCGGATTCTTTTCCCGGAGGAATTTCAAGGCCTCCAATGTTTTTGGATGGTCTTGTGGCCAGCCAATTGCACTTATGTCATACCCATCAAGGACTACGAATCTATATTCTGGCACTGGCGAAAAGTCATAGTAAGCATGGCTTCCAAAACTCTTGATCTTCAATAATGGAAGTAACTTACTCCGAGGCAGATTGTAAAGGCAGTGATTGCCAATCAAATGATAAACTGGTCCGTTGAACATCTCAAATTCATTAACAATTTTCTTTACAGTGTTAAGAGATTGATCTTTTGGACAGTATCCGTCAACAATATCTCCAAAATTTATCACAAACTTGTGGTTCTTATTAGTATTCCAATGTTTTACTGCTCTCTGCAACACAAGAATGCTGTGCCTATAGTAACGTGGAACACCAAGGAATGACCTACCATCAGGAATGTCAGCATACTGCACGTCCGATATCAATCCAAAAGAAAATAGAGGCTGTTTCCTCTCTGCGTTAATCAGTCCGTTAGCAGAACCCATAGTGTAGGTCTCTGCTATGCACAAGCTCCTATCGGAGATACAGCATAAATAATGTCATCAAAATAGGATTTTCGATGCAAGGTCTATGATAAAGTAATGTGTGTGTATAATCTCAAATAGAAAATTCATTTCATATGCAATTCACAATGATATTTAATTTAACAACTTTGTTCATTTACAAAACGGGGGATACAAATAACCAACTATCTCAACCTGTTAGTAAACTTGTCTATGCTTAGCAGTTAAGTTTCAAATTTTCTTCGTGGTAGATATTATATCAGTATCAGAAATTCAGAATGATGGATTGAAAGTATAGAAATAGAAAGAAAATACAATCAACCATAAATCTTGATTTGCTAACATGACCTGCCTTAAAAGAGTCTGGCATGTTCTAACGGGGAAAGAACATGATTCCTCAACTCTCTATTTTCACACTCGAATTTTTAAATCTATCACCTTCATCCTATTTTATCTATCACTCTTTCTCCATTTTCCCACCAGGCGTATACAGTCTAAAGGCCGAAAAAATATCATATTTCATCATTCCCTCTATACAAGTCAACCAGTTTGAGACAAGAGAAGACGCAACCACAAATTCAGGCAAATATAACAAGCACAGATGGACCCTCAATAATCTGGAAATAAGTTTCAGAACAACAGAAAAAGAAGAGAAACGGTCTTAACAGATCATAGTTTAGAAACTAAAGAAAAGGAAACACAGAAATTATTGTAACCGGGTAACACAGTGAGTTTGTTTGATCTCACATTACAGATTCCATACAGTGACCTAAGTAATTGTATGTATATATGAATAGAACAGGCAATGTAACAGAAGAGATGACAAAAATGGAAATGCATTGATGTTAAATTTATATGAATAGGCCGTTTTGCAGCTAGCATAACATGGAAAGAAAAATGCATGTAAAATAAGAGCGAAAGAAAATGAAGAGAAGAGAAGGATGGTACTTGTAACAGGAAGGAGAAAAAGTGAGAGAGAGGTAGTAGAATGGAAGGTGGAGGTTGGAGAGATATGTTTGGAAGTGGAACGAAGGAAGAAAATCGCAAGTCCCAACTCTGTGGGGTGTGAAAATCGGTAGACAGAGTCAAGGACTCGCGTTATTGGGAATTCGGACGTTAATGCAATATAAGGTGCTAAAATTGTCGTTTGCAGTTGTCACAAACACGGGACTGACACCGTTTCCACCTCTCCTCCTAACTGTAAATTCTAAATTACCATAATTATATTAATTGCTTTTTATTTATTTCTAATTATAGTTTCTAAAAACTATTGTTACCTATTGTTCGATTCACATATTATATTAATTAGGATATATTTAGTTTAGTTTTATGCTTAATTTTTACTATATCTGTAATAAGTTTATCACATTTAAAATTCAATTTTCAAATATTTATTTTTTATTTATAAAAGTTCAAAATGTGTTTCGTTTATAAATTATTATTACTTCAACATATTTATATTTTAGATAATAAAGACATAATAGTTGTGTTAATTATAAAATTGTCGTCAGGATTTCACTACAAGCTATTTTTAAGTGTTGTCGTGATTATTTAAGGGAATATAATATTTCAAAATAAATGTAATAATAACCTAAAAAAAGTTGCAATTAATTGAGGCTCCAAATTTTGGTACAGGATACGATGTTAGAGTGAATTATATGTATCTGAAAGATGTTTTTCGAGTCTCATGCGTATAAATATATTCGCTAATTTCTCGATTTAAAATACACATAAAAATACATATTAAATATTAATATCTCTAAAAGAACTTTATTTATTTTATTCATATATTTATATCCCTCCTTCGTTTACCTATATTGACTTAGGTTGTGTTGAAAGGTGATTGCGAATTTTCAACTTTTTTAAAATGAAGATGGAACAGATTTATATTTCAATCAATTGTATTTATTTTAAACGTCAAGGAAAAGTTTTTATTTCATTTTTAATTAAAAGTAATAATTTCATTATCTTTGATAATGATTTTTCTATCATTATACTTAAATTATTTATCCACAATATCAGCACTACCATGATTGATATTATTCCTCTTACTATAATCATTCCAATTTGTACAAACATTATCACAATAATAACACTATTATTTGTATAGTTATTCTTAATACTTAATTCTTATTATCAGAATTATTATTAGTATAACTGTCACCATTAGCAGTGATATTTTCTCTTTCCTCACTGTTGCACTATTACTTCTTTTCACTTTTATTATTGTCAATCATATATTATTACTATTATTATTGTTAGCACGTAACATAAAACTAATTTTAACAAGATATCAATATTTTAAATTAGTTTATTTTAAAAATAAAAATTAGAATAATGTAGTTTTCAAAATCAAAAGTTACCCAAAAAAATGTGTTTTTAAATTTATACTTACAATCAAAAGCCACATTGAACGAACTTTTTAAGTTTTTAGTTTTAAATTTGTTTTGGATATAAAAAGTAGAATGTAGTAGTATGAGCCATATTGTATACATAGTTAACTTTTTTATATTGATTTTTTTTTATATTGAACTTTAGATTTTTTTTGGCTCTCCCAATAAACATCAGGTAAAAGAAACGTAATATGTGATTGATTTATCTTTCAACTCTTGCAAAAATGTTAAGTAAACAAGAAAATTTGTCAAATACAACATTATCCAATATTGTGGGATAACAGCTGATTTAATTCGAACTTGATTAGGATTTAAATATATATGACTTTATCTAAATCAATGGATATATACATTTGAAAATTTAATTAATAGCAATGGTAAATACTATGGTGCAGAGCATGAAACATAACACCAAATAGTTGCCTTAACAGACGTGGCAGCTTCCTTTGACATTGGTTTGTGGCTACCGACTAATAACGGTGTAATCGCCGCAAAATACAGACACGTGTTAAAATAAAGACAACCTACGTTTCAACGTGCTTCCAACTTTTAAACGTGCGGTACAATTTATTTTATTTTATTTTAGTTTCTAATTTTCTATTATTTTTGTCATGTTCATATTTTTAAAATGAAAGAAGTCCTTAATTTTTTATTCTATACCTAATTTTCACATTTGTTAAAATATAAGTATCAGTTAAATTAATTTAATGCTATAAATTTCGTGAAATTAAAATTTACAATTATCATAATCATATATAAGAATGAACAAATGTAAGGATATTACGAATGTTGCTATTATATATATATATATATTTGGTAAAAAGGAAAATCTTATTATTTTATGAGTCTTTTCCTATTTTAATCATAATTTCAATTTTAACTACATGATCTTTTTAATTAATAAAAGAAAAAAATAGCAGATCTAATTTTCCTCATTTCTCTATACCAATACGAAACTATATTATGTAATCTTTATCTAAATAATCGATGTTAGATATCGTACAACAACAAAATGTGGTTGTATTAGTAATTAACGTGCTATATTGAAAGACAAAGACCACGCACGGACCTGGCTTTTGCAACTTGGAATAGTACAATTGTCGGTCTTCACATCACATTATTGTTTCAAAAGTTCATCAAATTCAGCATGTACTTTGTCGAGGGTGAAGAATCTGGTTCACAAGAATCTCTGGAAGTTTTTTAGTAGCCTGTGCAAGTATCAATACGTGAATTGAAAGCAATTGGTACATGTGCAACTCAACAATATAGGAAATATACAAAGATGCTAACCTGGAAATTCCTCATGTGCAAAATAGGCTCACACCCAACATCTGCCACTGATTTCCCATTTGGTGTTTGCAACTTAAATCGCTCTGCCTGGTATGCAGAAAGGATATTTTCTTCATCAGGCAGGTTACAGCAAACTTTCAGGAGTGAGCTCAGAGAATTCATCTGAAAGGTTGAAGATGTAATCAGATGACAGCTTCCAAGAAAAAAAACTGAAGAAAACTGGTTACAATCCAGATAAAACCCACCTGGATGTGAAAAATGATAGAACTAAAGTGTTTTCATTACATTTTAGCAGTAAACCTATAATGTACTTAATTACCTTCCCATTATAGTCGTTTATTCAACCGCTATTCAAGATCTTGTCAATCTACTAGCATATCTCAAAATGGTTATAAACTGAGCTAAGCATTTGTAAAACAAATGACAAACTCTACCTTCATGTATGGACAAGATGCACAGCCACCATGAATGGAACAGCCCTCCCCGCTGGCTATTCCTGGTACCACGGGAAGTATGATATCACCCACTTTGGCAGATTGAACACCTGAGGATAAACTTGAGGATGTTTTTGAGATTGAGTCAGAAGAAACTGGAAAGATTATTTCAACTGTAACTTTTGCTTTTTCAGAAGAGGACTTCGCAGGCTCCAACAAACTACGAACTTTAGCCACAATTGAAGTCACCATCCCAGATTCTGTTCCTAAAACAAATTGGAGATGATCATTTATATTTCTGTCCAAAGCTTCCTGAACCCGATCTTGTATGAAATCTAAAATATTCTTAGTGGAGCCTACTACGCCCATTCCCCTTCTCTTTGCTTCCATTGCCAATGAAAACATCTCTCCAGGAACCTCAAGATGAGCAGTGAGAAACGCATCACAATACATTTCTTTGATATTCTCCACAACTTCATGGCCAAATAGATGGTGAACAATGCATGTTCCATCCTGGCAACAAGTCACAAAAGCATATATAACCATGAAATGAAGTACGGAACCATAGATTGCTAGTATTAGCCTACTAAAATAAACACACACACACACACCAGCAGATGATAAGCGAATACAATACAAGCCATATTATACAATCAAACTTTTCTAAAATGTACAATAAGAATGAGATATCATACTAGCTTACAGTATATATAATTGCCACGTGGAAAATAATGTACATCCCAAAAGGATAAAACAGCAGATCTGAACCAAATGTATAGACATAACATGTAAATGAAGCACATCAAAATCCAAATGAATCAGATTCTTTCCTGGCTTTTTTAAAAACGTGCTAAAGATCTCACCTCAAAATAGTGAAGTCGAGGTAATAATGATCTAATAGAGTCTTGACTGTGCTCGGGATGTATTGCAGCAATCTCTTCATCGGTCATCTTTGCCATTTGTTGGAACAGTTCTTTAATGTTTGCACCCATGTAAGAATCAGGTCCATACCATATGCTCAAATCTGGAACTTGAGCAAATGCCTGCATAAATATGACCAACATATTATTTAAAGAAACGACTAAATGGGCTTGGTGGTGATCATCATATGATGCTTTCATATGACCATTACAATGTCAAAGAGGAATAGTAGAGGTTTGTATCTGACCAACCTGTAGGATAGTCTGGACAACATTTGATGAAGTACAGGTTATTGTAGGCACAAGCTCATGAGCAAATGCCTTTGTCTCTAACTTAGTGTTAATGTATATGACGTGCAAAGACGTAGACCTGGAAGCAGCTGAAAGATATTCCATGTAAGTAGGAGTAGCTGCAGCATCAGCCAGAGAGCAACCAATTTGCTCATTTGACATCCTATACACACCAACCTGCAAGTAATTATCCAAAGAAAAATTAAGGAGTAAGGATTAACACAGACCAGATACTGAACTTTACTAATATGGTTAGCTGCAGCACATATGACCTGCTTCATACAAAACCATTCACCAATGTTTATAAATAGGAAATTAAATAGAGTCCATCTTCTAGACAGCCTTCACTTATCATTACTTATTTCGCCTGCTGATGGCTATCTTCAAAACAGAGAACAAAAAAAAAACAAGAAAATTGCATACCTCACTAAAACCCGCTTGATCAAGAATGGCACGCACATTTTCTGACATAAAATCCACACCCAACACTGTTATGAACTGGCATCCAGCTTTTGCCATTTTAACTGCAGTATCTGCCATGACCA